AGTAAAGTGATCTCAATCATGTTTCTTGATCCACCAACATTGATCAATTAAGATTTGAATATTCACGAATTTTTTGTATCATTAATGCAACTATTTAATTTGTCACTATACCCATGCTTATAGTCACATCTTTTCACATGTTGCCCTCCATAATCCATTAATGGCAATTTAGGAATCACATGAATGGATGCGATTGAGTACATATACATAAATAAATTTACAACAAATAGTATTTATTATTTAATTTACTGATCAAAACTCAGTAAAAGTTGATTGATGTCGCACGTAACGTGCGACATAAATATTCGGATCTTCAAGAGCATTCCAAAGGACACAACTTGCAGATATGCAAAGCTAATTGAATGTACTGCCCTAGCTACTTACGCGACTTATAAATCTCTTTTTTTGCTCCTTAACAACATCATAATTTTCTAGTGGCACTAATTCTAATATAAAAAAGGAAGTTAAAGAATGGAATATAGATAGCCAACATGTTCACGTACGTGAGTTCGGTCCTCTAAAGTCTGTTAGAGCTCTCTACAACACACTCATAGCGAAGTCGATCAGTTTCGGATGAAATAGAAGAACAAAATTTTAGATATAGTGATAATTATAGGAGACATATAAGGGAGAACATGAAAATACGTTGCAAGATTTCTTTCACGAATTAAGTGGACAAATTGATGGGGTAAAGTGGCACCCTAATGAAGATGCAATAGTGACAAGACGATGGGCCATTGCACCAAATATCACCCACTAGCTATAGCTAATGTGTGAGACCCTCAAACCCTAAATTTTTGCCTAACATCGTTTTCTTGTTCCTTTAGAATTTATAAACTTTAAATTCTGTGTTCGCTGATGTTCGCTACTCTTATTTTAATTTGTTATTTCTCCATCATATTTTGGCATGTTTCGTTATTGTGAAAAGACTTTTCAAGAAAAACAAGATGATTTATTGTTTTTTTCCCTTTAATTTTGTTGCTTTTTTATGATGTTTTGGCCTGGAATGTTTTGTGAGTTTTCAATAAGCTAAGTAGATGAATGATTGGATTTTCTTCAAATTTGTTTTTCTCCTCGTGCTTTTTAAAAGGATGATGAAATTGCTAGACCCATTTGCCCCTACTTGATGCCTTTGGATATTGCATAATTCCTTCGTGACTTTTCCCTTTTGGTCCCATTGCTTTAACACAAATAAAAAAACCTCTTTATTTTTTTTAAATCCTTTTTCCGCAATATTTCCGTAGATTGTCACAAAAGTTTAAAGTGATATATACTGATGGGAGTCTTTCGTACAATAAATATTGATTCAATTCTCACTGTTCCCTTCCCTTTACTCCACTAAATAGAAATATATTTAAAACTATAGTACGAATAATTTTCTTGGCTGATGTCGTTTTAATTTAAAATAAGGAAAGAGCTCGTAAAAGTAGGGCGAGCTTAGAGTAGCAGCCTATTAATGCATTTTTGAGCGTTTTCTAATTTTATGATTACATTTTTTATGTGCTGGACGTGAATGTACAAAATGATAACTTTTTTTTTTTCTTTCTAAAAGACGAAATTATTATTAAGCACGAAATTAAGATGTATCACTACAGTCCGAAACTGATCTTAACAATACAATCCCTAATAAGTGATAACTTTATAACTTGGTAACTTGGTAAAGAATATTGTGTAATTTGTGGACTTTGGTCAGTTTTCAATCACTCTCAACGAGAGATAGCAAATACTTGTACTCAAAATATGTCGAAAATATAAAGGTCAAGTTTCAGCCAAAAGGTAGAAAAGAGAGCTACTGGCACCTAAATCAGTCCTTTTCGATCTTCTATTCCTTTTATTGGTACATTACCTAATTAATTTAAACAAGTAAAAGCTCATATTCTTTTGAAGAATTTCATTTATCTATTTTGGCCATAAAAATTTTCAGGAAAGTAAAAGCCTCTGCATTTACATGAATACTCCTGGAGTGTAGCCTTTTTTCTGACCCTACGTGAATGTGTGATGATTCGTGCACTGAACTATCCTTTTTTATATATGACCGATTTTCAGCCAAAGCTATTTGTTTACCCGTAAAACGGTTATAGACAAGCAAACTGATTTGATACAAAATTGATAAATGAAATAAATAAAATGCATGACTTAGGATTAAAATCGAGATGAACAACAAATAGCCAGCTGGTTCCGGGAGCAAGGCTTCCGAAGGCAACAATAAGAACAGTATTAGACAGAAAATAAAGTATTATTTAGCTTGGGAATAGTGTGTAGCATAAGTTTGTTGAATTTTCGTGTCTTACAATGGTTGTTGAAGTCTATTTATAGTTATACTTAGGGAACAAGGTCATATGATCAAGCACTTTTTAAATGACAATAATGGGGGCCATTGATGGCTATGCAACGGCAAGCCATGAATGCCAAAATTCTCTGCGACGGCTGTGTATTTAATACTGAAGAATATTATTCATTAAATGTCATTTGGTGACATACATTCATTTGCCTCCGTTGACTGCGTTCCCTTCGGGATCTACCCGGTACTGAAAGTGTTATCCTCGGTCTTGATTCTCACTCCCTTCATCTTCCGTCTGCCTCCGGTTCCACGTGTCACACTATCAATGAGTATTTAATATAGACCGATTTTACCCTATACACTATTGCTTTCAGCTGACTCACAGCTTATACTGTATATCCGTCTCCGTATCTATGAATATAGTATATGCACTGATCATATAACTTTTTTGTTTTATAATAAATAGATATACAAGATTAGATGAACGAAAATTCGTAGGTCACTTCCTACAGAACAACTAATACCTTTTTTCTCCTTCTCTTATGTGGGCTGTGACTCATCTATTGATATTGTCGTAAAAAGAAATACTCAACTTGTTCAAGGCACAATTACTTACAATTTAGACACATATATAACGGATGTTGGCATAATTAATCCTTGAAAACGAAACATGATATAGTAAAGTGATAGTCTTTGAAAGAATTAAAAATAATTCAAGAAGTGTCCTTAATTATAATAGTAACATATGATACTCATTGCTATCTTTTAGTAATCAACAAAAAAAGTTTTTATGTTATCTTTGATGTATAAATTGAAATACAAAATTTATTCCCAGTCTTGTGTTTAGATATATAGTGATATACAATATGTCATAATTGTTTTTTGGTCCACCAAATTTTACGTCATTCATATCATTAGATTTGTCTATACTTTTATTTAATATAACTCAAAAAGATTATTTAAATTCGTCACAGAAAAAGATGTAAAAAGGAAATGAACAAAGCAACCTCTTCATACCCTTTTGAGTGACATGACCATATACTTTTCTTTGTGCTTTACTTTTCATGTAGTTGCTCAAATATTTTCAATACCCTAATTTTTAGTTGGATTATTGTTCAGATAATATACAATGCTCGACCATTGACTTAAATGATAAATTTCGTTATATATACATAATATTTAATTGCACAAACTAAGTGAGAACTTTTTCCTTGAAAGCAGTAATACTTCATAATCTCAAAATTTTATCTACGTTTTCAAAGGCCGAATTGGATGAATTAAACGCTCTTTAAATAAAGTCACGTAGTTTTAAACAACTCCAACCCCTACAACATAAGACCTTCTACGTAATTCTTTCGGGTATTATCACTTTTAGCCCGCGTCAGAAATTATTTATATCTGGTAGCCGAAAAAATGTATAAAAATTTGTATAATTTTTGTATATAACATACAAAATGTATATATATACAAAAAAATAATACAAATTTTTTATATTTTTTCATTATATTTACGGTCGGCTATACAGTGTTATTTTAGCAGAGAACATCAAGGTCATGATAGGTCCTTTGATGCCTAAACGTACGGCATGGGAAAAAACAATAGTGCACGTTAAGTCAGAATTGACTTATGTAAACGATCATATCGATACCAGTAAAATCATGTTTTTAGCAAGTTTGAAGAAACACTTAGATAAACATCAGATTAGATCAATTTTAGTCATGTTCCGATGAATGTTCAAGAAGAATGAACTTGTTTATGCTCCCTCAATAGTCTTNATATATATATATATATATATATATATATATATATATATATATATATATAACTTTTATATATTTTTTCGGCTATTATTTTACGGCGGCTATACAATGTCATTTTCCATTTTTTTTTTAATTTTTGGTAATTAATATTTTATGTTAAAATTAACATTGCTTAGACCAAACACCGAAATATATGGAGAAAAAACAAAAAGACAATGCTTGAAGTCATATAAGTATTGGACAAAATCTCACTCACCTGAATCCTCTTGTTGACCAAACATGCATTGAGATTGAGAACATTTAATTACATATGTAAAAATAAACAATTAATGTATCAAATCACATTTATTCCGTTTTCATACTCAAAATCCTACAAATTTATTGTTTTAATTTAATCATCCGAAATTTAAAGCACAATATTTCGATTCATTTGATTTTCATCAGACAAACACACCATAGTAAATTCGCGGTTATAAATACCAAACAAAGCATATAGCACTAAATGATTTCGAGATTATTAATCTGAGAATTATAATATAACTTTTTTTGCAAATCAAATAACCTCGGAAACCAACAAGTGTTGTGGTGGAGTGTTAAGTACTCCTTCATCCTTAACTAGAGGTGTCAGATTCGACTACCTGGACATGAAGGCGTCTTTGTTAGGGAGCACTTTACCGCCAATGTAGAATTTTTCGACGCGAATTCAAATTTAATCGAGCCCTAATATGGGTACTGGACACCTGGTAGGAAACAAAAAAAAAAAAAAATCACCGCTGAAAATCTATGCAAAATTACCGAAGTGGTAAAAAAGAAAATCTGAAAATTTGACGGTTGAAGGTAAAAATAGAGAAAAGCATGAGGTAAAAAAAGCGACAAAACAAAACGTGTTCATCAGTGAACGGCCCAAATTGTACGACAACTCCACCCCTACACATCGTCACGTCCCTGCTTCNAGTCCACGTACTAACAATTCTGGGTTTTATCAGAAAGTTCATTTGCACGCTTTTCACAGTTCTGGGTCTAGGAGATTTCCTCGAACCCGAAATGCCATTCCCGACCCGACCCGAATCTCACTCGGAGCTCCACTCAGTGTCAGCAACGTTGATCCGTGAGCTGTTGCCGGTCGTTAAGTTCTCTGAACTTGTTGACCCGCCGGAGAGCTGTGCCGTTTGCTTGTATGAATTTGATGGGGATGATGAGATCCGACGGCTCACAAATTGCCGACATATATTCCACCGGAGCTGTTTGGACCGTTGGATGGACCATGATCAGAAGACTTGTCCACTTTGCCGTACGCCGTTTATTCCCGACGATATGCAAGATAGTTTTAATGAGAGATTATGGTTGGCTTCCGGCATTTCCGATTTTTACGGCGAGTATTCTCCGGTCGCTGCCGGTTTGTAGCACTACTGATTTTTATTTTTCCCGGTGGTTGGGATTTGATAATGTAAAATGTATATACTACAAGAGAAAGAAAAGAAAAAAGATGAGGGTGGAAAAGAGAAAAAAAAAATTACTCCTATTTGTATAGTGTACAATTTTGAGACTATGGAATGAAAATCGATAGTTTAAATTTTCATTTTTCGTGAATTTGAACTCTAGTTTTAGTTTTCATTTTTCGTGTATTTTGAACTCTACTACTTAATTACATCTTTTTGCAATTTAATTTTACTAAATTTAGATGTCACACTCATGTTGTGAAATTCAATGAAGGTCCAGTCAATATTGTTACAAATAATTCGTACACTTTATTTGGTCAACTATTGAATATTTTGGATAAAAAAGACTATCCATTCATAAATTCATTTTTTTTTGTAAAGACTATGAATGAGAAAAAACTAATATCAAGACATGTTCAAAATCATTTAATTGAACGGTAATTATATGTAAGAAAGAAAATAAAAATGCAATTACAGCTATTTAATGTGTAATATTTTTTGCTAGTAATTTGAATCAATTGGTAGTACAGAGTTTCGTAGTTATGCTGGCTGTTGGAGTATTTTATTTTTTATGCAATTAGTTGCAAATATGAGACTAATTGTAATACTATAAAAAATCTCAAGCTTGGTACTGACAATAATTTTGGTCAATAATAACTTTGGATTAGCGCAAATTGAAGTGTGGTTAATTAAATAATAAGGCTTTGAACAAGTGATGAGAGTGATAAGATTTGATATCATAACCTCTATCTTTTAAGAGCCCGTTTGAATGGCTTACTTTAAGTGACTTTTAAGTTTTAAGTAGAATTATAAGTTAAGAATTTTAATTTTTTGTTTATTTATGTCATTTAGCTTCAAAATAAGTACTTATTTAAAAGTTATTTTAAATAAGCAAATCTAAACGGGCTCTAAGATTTGTCACTGAAGTTACGACTAATTAATGATAATCACTTAAACTGAGAAATTATCCTAGGACGACGTTGCTATCAGGAGAAGAATATAATGCATTAGGGGGTTGTACTGTTGGTGCTCAGTGTTAAATTGGTACCTTCCCGTTTAAACCGGATCTTGTCTTCCACTTCCATTGTGTACGATACATGCCCCTCCAATATCTTCGCATAGTACTATCGATTAAACTTGCGTAAAATGCTTTTTATTTCTAAGTAGGTGTTTGGCCATAAATTTTGAAAGCTTTTTTTTTTTCTCAAAAAAAAAAAAAATATTATATATGTTTGTTTATAGAACTAATCTAGTTTTTTTGAAATCTTGAAAACAAAAACTTCAAATCTCAAATATAGCTTAGCACCTCTATTTCGGCCAAATCATGACCATTTGAGACTTTTTAGCTGAAAAGAAAAAAAAAACTTTTTCGCACGTCAAAACTTGTCCCGAAATTCATGTTTAAATGCATTTTCAATTTCACATCAAACTTCACCCAGATTAATATTTTAAAAAAATATTTGGAAATCTATATCCAAACAAATCCTAATACTTTTTTTTTTTCATTCTCAAAATTCGAATTCAAAATTTTTAATTAGGGATAAAAGAAATCTCAACCGCTTCTTAATGATAACAAATTATCTTCTTCCTATCATTCCCTCTCCGGCTAATCAATGAACCACTCCATTTCAAAAATAATTCCAATAAAAAAGAAAAAAATGCAATGAAGTAATAATTAAATAGTTCTCATATAAGTTAGCGCTAGCAACCTTTTATTGATTGAACTTGGGTTTGGAGTTTGGTGTCAGCATAGAAGAATAGAACCTATGTCTTAGGTCTTAGAATTAACTAGGGTTTTCAGATACCTAATATTCGTTGGCCCCTACAACAAAAAAAGACCTATGTATCCCTAGCCAAGTTTAGACTAGGACTCAAAAGCAACTCTTAACCTTTTTTGGTTTCTTGTTTTATATTCGATATGAAGTGTTATATAAGAGGTAAAACACTCCCTAATAAATATGATTTCATACTCAGTAAAGGCGAATTTAGTATTATTAGAATATGGGTGTACCACTGAAAATACGAGAAAAAAGTACTAAGTAGGAATAGATATTCATACTCCTTTGGATTAATAATTCTATATTCAATTAAGTGCATCATTCAACCTTTTTGGACCATCGTGGCCAACGATAATATTAGACCAATTTTATAAAATATATACATAAATACCTAGTTTGACAGAAACACCTGAGTTCATGTGCACCATAAAACGACCTAAATGCGCCCATGATGATCAGGACTCGAACTTGAGATTCATAATAAAAGAATGAAGAAGTACTTATCACTTCAACATAATCCTATAGGGACTCTGAATTCAATCAAGGGCTTTTTTCATTTTTAGCCGCCAGAAACTATTTACATTCGGTAACCGAAAAAGTATATAAAATTTGTAATTTTTTTGTATATAACATACAAAATGTATATATATATATTTTTTAGAACGATTATCCAGTGTTATTTTCCGTTCTATCAATGGAGATTAGTCGATATCTAAAGCCGCAATAGTGAAAAAGCAAGTGTCAATGTGTCAATAGTAGCACATTATAACCTGGCCTCATGGGTTGGTCCTAATAGTTTTGGCGAAACTTTGCCATTTGTAGTGTTGCCCTTGATCTTTGTGCCTTTCTTTGTTTGTTTGTCCCTCAAATATTCAATTAACCGACACCTTTACAACTTTGTTACTGTCTCCTAATTATTGAGGTTTATTATTGGTGTTTATTAATATTCCTCATCTTCTTTTGGGTACAAATGTGAAAGCTCTCAATATACCACAAGTTTTTTGTCCAAAAAGAGATTAACTAACTTACGAGCCCGTTTGGCCATGGAATTTTTTTTACTTTTTTTCAAAATCAGTATCTGACCATAATTTAATTTTCATTTAAAAATAAATTTTAATTTTGTTGAAATTTTGAAAAATTCTAAAAAGTTATTTTTCAATATTTTCACTCAGATCATTCATAAAACTTTAAAAACAACTCAAAATTATATTCATGTCCAAACACAACTTTAATTTTTAAATATCATTTATCACTTGGTTTTTTTATTAATACTTTTTTTTCGAAATTTTACAATTCTTATGTCCAAACGCCCCCTACATCTCATTCTCAGTTAATTTTAAAGTCCATCCAACAGAATTTGCACAAGAAATAAGTTGATGAAAAGTGGTGGAATATAGTGCCATGCATTGTGGTAATAGTTTGAAACCTTTAGGGTTGTCGTGAAGTGGTAAGTATTGATTCATTCTTAATCAGAGGTGTTGTGTTCGAAGTTCGAACCTTTAATATGGAATCGCCTTTGTTAGGGAGCGCTTTACCCTAAATGTGGGACTTTTCAATACGAATTTGGATTTAGTCGGGGCCCAATATAATTACCAGACATCGAGTGGAAAACCAAAAAAATAGTACTGTTGAATCTTTGCTTATCAAAATTGTTCTGGATTAATGTATGAATAGTCATTCAAATTTAATTGACTTTTCAATAATCATAAAAAATAATCTTATAACGAAAAATAAATTTACTCATTATTTCATAGAAAACAAAATGAAACGTAGAAGACATGAGAAGATTGACTATTTAACACTTATCTTACATTAAAAGAAGTCCATTATCCATCTTATTATTTCAAAGTGAGTTGAAATATGATTCCCCAGCCCAAAGAGACAAGTCAGGAAGAGCTTATAAAGAAGCTGAAATATCCATTATCACCGCTACGCAGGGGCGGATTTAGGGGCGGAAAAGTGTTCACCTGAACCCCCTTCGCCGAAAAATTACATTGTGTATATAAGATAAAATTTATTTTTTTATATCTATATATTATGTTTTGAATCACCTTGATAAAGCTCAAAAGCATAGCTTAGTAGTCAAGGGGGTTCAAAACCTTTGTAAGATCATAGGTTCTAGTCCCACTAGCTACAACCTTCTTAAATTTTTTCTTTTATGAACCCTCTTAGCGGTAATCCTGCCTCTGCCACTGCCGCTACGTGTTATCGTGTGGATGAATAGGATCTCTTTATCTTTAATAAGAGATTTTATGTTCCAACTCAGAAAACTTTTTATTCTTAAATGGACCTTATGTGATACGAATCTTGATTATTCGGGAGAGTGAGAAATAAAAAATAAATATAATATGTTATCCCTAGTTTTATATACTATTTCATAGAAAATGATGAAGTTTTTATGTTCCTCAAATCGTTTTCTGAATTTCAATACTCTGATGAAGTTTTTATATCTTCAAATTAGAATAGTAAAATTCAGAAGGAGTAGAAAACCATAGAGGTTTTAATCATCACAAACAGAATACAGAATATAATATATAATTTTCTTAAGATTGTTAACCAATCTGTATTACTGTTGGACTTTAAGCATTGGGCTTTAAAAGTCTAAGAGTGTGAATTGGAAATGGTGGGAAATAAAATGGAGGGAAATGAAAATTTGAATAAAGTGAACTTTTGACTTGCACTTTGTCCCTCATTGGTGAGGGACAACTACATTTGTGTGCTTATATATAGAATCACTTCTTAAAGCTCTTAAAAGGAGTTGAAGAGAATGAATCCTCGCGCCGTCGTCGTCGCTCGCTCGGCTTCGGCTTCGGCTTCGGCTTCGGATTTGGAAATCGATCGATAAGATTATTTTTGGACACAATTTATTTAATAATTAATTAAATGCCAGATCACTGCTGAAGATTCAGAAGGATAGTCTGGCCGCGGTCCTGGCGTAACCGCGGTAGGACCGCGCCAGAACACTGCTGCAGATTCAGAAGGCTAGTTTGGCCGCGGTCCTGGCGTAACCGCGGCAGGACGCGTAAACTTCTGAACAGACACCTTTTCCAGAACAAACATCACACCTCTTCCAATAATTGCTTATAAATTCTGAGGCATGGCTTCGTTTTTAACACACCAAAAACATTACAGAACTTCCTTCTTTCTGAAAATACTTCATTCTAATTCGTAGTCTCTCTCTCTCAAATTCGTAAGTGTGATATTGCTCCGTTCTTTGAGTTCGTTGGTATCCTGCAGTTTGTATTGCCACTGTTGCAGGAAGGTTTATTCCGTTTCATCCTGGGAGGATTTAATCCATTACTGGCAACGTGTGAGGGGGTTAAAATTCCTTATGGACGCACAAGCAAATTGTGGACTCGGAATATTTCTTATT